CCTAAAAAGAGGAGTGTCAAGAACTGTGCTCACCGTAGAAACCAAGTAAGAGATAATAGCCAAGGTAGAAAGTGAGCACAAGGTGTCTGATATTGCTAGGCAGTATGGCTTGAACAGGTCTATAGTAGGCTCAATCTTAGCTATGAAAGATATATCAAGAAGTCTCAAGCTGTTAATGGAGTAATGAAAATTACGTCTGAGAAATAAAGAGCATTTTAGAGCTCATAATGGAACCTGAAATTGATCTGACGACAGAAAAACTCCAAGAACTCTCAAATGAAGAATACCGAGAAACTCAGCGAAATGTGTTATCTTTTGGAAAAGAGGAAGACGAAAGAGGACCAATGTCGACATCTGCTACTAAAGATCTTTTGAAGGAGTGGGAGGATGTTATATCATCCAAGTGGCAACCAAAGCAGAATAAGGTTCATTGGGTTGGGGATCTCTACAATTACAATACTATTAATTACTTCCGAAAAATCCTGAAGAAAAGAGAAAAGCAATCGACATTGGACAGATTGTTTAACCCCCACAAACGGATAAAACATGACTAATAAAAATGCAAGACAGCATATGTATGTATTTTTACTATTACATGTAAATAAATGTAGTAAAAAAAGTATATATTTTTTTTATTTTTTGGAGTCTTCGGAACGAATTAATCAAATTCCCATACAAACCTATGGTAAATCGATAATCGGTTAACGAACAATTCGGATAACGAACAAAGTCTTGGAACGGATTATGTTCGTTAACCGATCACCCACTGTATAAATATAATATAAAACAAATATTGAATTTTTTTTAATAAACATATTTTCACAAAATTGTGGAAATAAAATTGTAAAAATAATAATAAAAAAGCAGAAATTAACACTTTCAGCAAGAGCCACATGTAACTCAAAAAGAGCCGCATTTGTCCATGTCTGATATATGTATAGATAAGAATTTAATTTTTAGTGCTTAATTTTAAGTTGAAATATAACAATTATTGTAAACTTATTAATGTTAAATATTTTAAAATTTCAGTGGGGTGAAAAGTTATTTGCAGAACATGAAGATTTTCTTTTGAAATATTGTAAAAATATTCCAATTTTTATTAAGAATTTTCCTATAAACATTACCCCTTTCTATATGAAGATGTCTTCAGAAAAAACAGCAAGTATTTTATTATTTATTTAGTTAATGAGTTATTGAAGTATTTCATTATTTAGATACTAATTCATTCAATATAATATTCTATTTAATTTAAATTACAAATTTTATATTATTTGCATGGATTTGTTTAAGCTATTTGAATAAAATATCCTCAGTGTAGAAAAGTTAGATAATATGATTAATCAGTTTGGAAAAAGTGCAAAAAATGAATTAGAAAAGAAAATATTACTTTTAAATTGTTTATTATTTAATTTATAATAGCTGTCAAAATTTAACTCAAGCAATCATTTTAATTTTATTACAGTGAATTTCAAAAACTGTTTTAACAAAATTAATGATATATTTTGCTATTATATATACTTTGACATTATATTTTCAGGCTTCTTGCTTTGATCTGATTGCCCCTTTTGGTGGAGAAATTTGTGGTGGTAGTTTAAGAGAAGATGATGAAAATCAATTAAAAATCAGAATACGCCAAGCTGGAATTGATTCTGAAACATTGCAATGGTAATTTCATAATATATGCAGTAATATATTGTTGCTTATTTCATTATATAATAGCATTGGTTAGATAGATATTATTTTTATCAATAAATAATATGTTAAAAAATAATAATAATACAGTTTGACAAATCTATCATTTAATAATTTTTTAGAAAANGCCAAAGATTGAAGCGCCACAGCACTGGCGAAAATGTAAATTTGCCGACTGGAATTCTTTCGGATGATTGACTTTCGGAAAATCGACGCTCTACTGTATCTTAATAAGCAGAAATTAACAAAAAGTATTAGGGAAATAAACACTAAGAAGTATAAAATATAAATGAAAATAACAGATCACATCAAATTAAATATCTTTACTTAAAAATTAATCATGCCCAATATTTCAATATCTACATATCAGATTTTTGGACTATCATTAGGCTAATAATGTAATTAATTAAACTATAATTTAGCCAAAAGGTAGACAGGCCAGCATTCTTCTAGATTTTTAAATTACTTAATTTGATTCAAAAATGAATTTGTAATTAATGTTAGCACATGATGCAACATATCCATGTACTTTAATCAGATTACATGGTTTCACAGATTAAATTATTAAGTTAATAGTAATCTGAAAATGTGTAAATTAGATATCTAAATATATTTACTACTTAAGAACAGAAAAATTAACTATTAAAGGATTAAAATATGAAAATATTATATAAATTCTTGTGAATAGTAAGTAGATAGTAAAGATAGATTCATGGACACAGTAATGTTGATATATGAAAATACTTTAAACTGTATTTTTATATATCAAAGTATTTTCATATATCAACACTACTGTGTCCATGAATTTATTTTTACTATCCACTTATTGATCAAACTGCTGTCTCACTCAATAATAAATAAATCTTTGACAATTCTAATTGTTGTTTACTATATTTTACATATAAACTATTTGTTTTTATATTAAAAGCATAGTTTCTTCTCTCTGTCTATTTCTTTATTCATTATGTATTCTTATAAGGAAACATTAATCTTATTTTTTTAAAATACAGTCAACTTGCATTAATACAAATCTCTAGGGGAACGGAAGTTAGTTAGTTTTATTGAAAATTTGTATTAACAATTTTAGGGGTCAAGATTGCATAATTTACAGAATGAAGGTTTAATAGGCAATCAAAATCATTTAGAGATTTTGATTGCCTATTAAACCTTCATTCTGTAAATTATCTAAATTATAATGTTTTTGAATTAGGTTACTAAAAATAAAATTAAATTTATTTACAAAAATAAATTAATGATCTAAATGATTTTCAAATCAAACAAAATGAGGAGGAGATGGTATTTCTGATTGATGGCAAATACCATCAATCAGATGTGCAATCAGAGTGGTTAATCATTCTGATATACTACAAAAAAGCTAAAAGAAATCCACGAGTTTTTTCCTGTTGAAGATTGTTTGAAAAAATAGAAAATATTTTTTGGCACCAAAAGTAAAAAAAACGAGTCAAATTTGATGCAAAGTAACTAAACTTGGTATCACAGTATACATCCTCTGATATGCAAACTAGTACATGTTTGCATGGAATTGCATCCATTTACGAATATTAAGGAATAGCATCCTTAAACTATAACTGCTATTTTCTGAGTACAATAGAGTGGTTTGCTAAAACAAAATGTTTGAATTACTCTACAATTGGAATTCTATCCTTGCTTACTAGAAGAAAATCTATTCTATTCAAAATAGAAATAAAACTTCTTTATTTCTACTTTGTACTACTTTGCTTTTTACACTTTTTAATATGAATAATAAAATCATTATTGGAAATAAGGTTATTTCTTGGGAGTTGTGAAGGTAATTTACAGTTTGGTTTAAAAAATTCTGGAAAATTTTTGTTTGCTATATCACATGAAAATTAATTTGATAATGGCATTTTGCTAGGCAATGGCAAAAATTCACTTTATTGGTGTTTGTTTGTTTTAAGGTGAGTTGCCTGTAATTTAATACAGTTTTAAATTCTCTTTATCATCTTTCACAAAAAAGAAGGCAAATGATATGCTTAAGCTTCAAAAAATTCCCAGTGAAACAAATGAATTATTCTATATTTTATATATTGCATTAACAGAGTGTCCAATGGAACTGGAAATGTCAGAGAATTTATCAGATAAGGGTAAAGTTTTGGAAATTTCAGGGAAATTAGTATTAAATCTGGAAAAAGAACAAAATTATTACAGTGTGTGTAATGCATCATATAATAGAAAAGGAAACAACAGAAACTATTTGAATGTGTATATTGTGTCACATGATACGCATGATGATTTAAGATGATTACATTATTCATGCTGATTAAATTTAGTTATAATAATTACTAATATCTACTCCAATGTTTTAAGAAAGTACAAAATTTGAATTATGTGGCTTTAAATTTTTTTTAAAAAATGTAGCCTTTTTTCTTTTTCAACTGTAAATGGCTTATTTTTAAGTGTCTCTTGTGGGATTCACTGGAAAGCAATTGGCAACCCTAGCTAGCAGTCAGTTTCCTTTTGAAATGAGGTTGTAGAGTAGGTTATCACGACAGTTTCAAAGCTCTTACTGAGTAAATGGTATGTAGAATCCATCTACATGTAAGCAGTGCTTGCAATTTATGATTACAGGGTTTAGGACTGGTCACTATTTTAACTAAAAGTCAATTTTTTCATTTATCACAATTTTTGCAAAATGTCATTAAGAATCCCTTTTGGAAAGATATTACTGTATTTATTCTATTTTAATATGCACCTTTTTCAGCTTTTTGAGAAGCTGAAAAATGAAGTACACATTAGATTTAAAGTATAAGTAAGGAGGTTGGAAGCAAAACATGTTAAGTGACATTAGTATCATTTCCAGTATTACATCATGTTAAACCTATTAACTATAATTTGAACAGATTTCACTGTGATTTTACTTCATTTGAGTGTCACCCAGCTATTGAAATTTTGCTGATTCTAATTAGTGAAATATATTTTAAATAAGAAGTTTTACATGCTATAAATTTTTAATTTACAGTTAAAAGATAATAAACATAGATTTTATTTTTTTTATGAACTACTAGATTTCATAATAACAAATAATTATTTTTAATGAAATACTTTTAATACTTTGATCAATAATATATTCATATAATTTATATGTAATATCAGGACTAAATAAACTTCATTTAATGCAGAGATGTGAGATGTTTTTTTGAATTCCTCTGCCTCCATTTTTTTAAATAGCAATATGAAATTAATGGTCACTTCTTGGTCAGTAATTTCTTGATACCTGTCACTTTTCTAACTATTTCCTTAATAAAAGTCTGTGTCTGACCCTATGATTGTAGATTTCAGATAGTAAATTAGAACATTACTGATGTGCATCTCTATACAGTATATACAGTAGACCTTGGATATACCACTAAAGATTAGAAAATTAGAAAAGTTAGAATGAAAGGAGTAACTGACAGTGATTTAGAAATTTGAAAAGACTGCAAACTACTTACGAGTTGTAACCACCAAATTGTTGGAAAAGTTGCCACTGAAATACAAATTAACCAACGGACTGTTATGTCTAAATCCAGCTTATGCAAGGAATAAGGAATACAGAGAAAGTACAAAATCTGCTTGATATTACATTAGAAACTTATGGCTAATAAGTGGATAAATAATTCTACAGCTGATAAGATTGCTAAGCAATTCAAAGACATTTTGTCATCCCCAGGAATTAGTGATGTGATTAAACACTACTCCAGACAGCATAATAGGTTTTCTTTCTGGCTTAGTCTGTTACATCAATGTGGTGAAGTAAAAGAATTTGAAACATTTATGAAAATGATTTTAATAATATCCTGTGGTAATGCTCACATAGAATGTGAGTTTTCCATCTACAAACAATGCTTAATGGAAAATCAAAAAGAAGAAACCTTTGTAGCTTGCATGAAATTATATAACGGGTGGCCAACCTGCGGCTCGCGAGCCACATGCGGCTCTTTGAAGGATTATTTGTGGCTCTCGATAAATGTACCCGAGTTCCCTTTTCATTTTTGTGTTGTTATATTTTAAAAAATTATTATCGTTCCGTATATGTTTCAAAATGTCTTTTAAATTACTAACAACAAATA